AATGACAAGAGCAATTGCCGAAGTTCTTCCAAATACTTTTCATCACTATTGTATATGGCATATTCAAAATAAGTTTTTGGAAAAGCTGAATACAATAATTTATCAGGACCTACCATTTGACGAGGAACATTATTTTACATCCTGAGACTAGTGAAGAGTTTGAACCAAGTTGGACAGATATGCTGCAGCCTACTAAATTGATAGATAATGCTTGGCTTAACCAAATATACGAGATGCGTGCTCGACGGGTTCCTGCATTTGTTAAACATATTTTTGCAGGTCAAGCAGTCAAAGAGCGAAAAGTTCTCATTCATTTCTTACAAGGTACTTTCAAAGAAAATGTCATTGATGGATTTTATTATATGATTGAATAGAGGAATTGAACACCAAAGGTATCAAAGTTAATAGCTGACCACTGCAATATTAATGAAAAACCACGATTGAAATCAGTGTGACCAATGGAGGCACAAATGTCTAAGATTTATACAAGAAAGGGTTTTCAAACTTTTCAAGATGAGATTTTTGAGAGTCAAGCATACATTATAAGTACATTATGTGAAAATGAAGCAACTGACTTATACCGTAGAAAGAGTTCATGGATCTTCTAATTCAAGATCTCAAAAACTTATTTATTTTAAGTGTACAAATATTGTACATTGTCGTTGTCAACAATTTGAATGTGAAGGAATTCTATGCAGACATATGTTGGCGTATTTTAGAATCGAACAAATATTGCAACTACCAACTCAATATATTCTCCAACGGTGGACCAAAAGTGCCAAGTTTGGGAAAAGATTGACGAGGAAATAGATGAAAATCCAAATCAATCGTTGATGTTAAGGCATTCTAAACTATGTCAATTGTCTTCTACTGTGGTTGATGATGCATCTCTCACTAAGGAAGGAGTTAATCTCTTAATCAATGGGCTAGAGGATCTTTACAGTAAAATAAAGGACCTTAACATCGGTAATGGTACTGAACACGTATTCATGGGGCAAACAAGCATTGAAGAGCACTTAAACATCAATGAACCACCACAAGTAAGAGCAAAGGGGTGTGAAAAAAAAAAAGAACCGATCAAAAAAAAAGGGGGTGTGAAAAAAGAATAAAAAAAAATCAAAAGAGAAAGCAGTGAATAAAGAGAGAGTTTGTTATGGATGTGGATTTCATGGCCAATCACACGATAAACAAAATTGTCCAAAATTACTTGAAAGGTATTTTTTATTTTAACATATCATTTGGTAGGATTTATCATTTTCATTATTATAGATCAATGGAAACATGAATGTTGAAGAACGTGGACAATTTTAATGCACTTCTGTTTTTACTTTCTCTAAGTGGATGACCATTGCAACTTGCAAATTCTTCTATTGTATGTTATTTGCTGATTGAACTATTTGTTTCATCTATGCTCATAAAAAGAAAATTGAATCTTTTTTTACATCTAAATTTTTTATTTGGTGTAAAGTTATTTCTTTTTCAGTCTTTTCCTTCTTGTTTTTCAGTAGATATGACAACCTATCGAAAAATAGTTTTGTAAATTATTAGCGTAATTTTTTTTTGAAAAAAGTCGTGTAAATGAGTTATCAAAATTAATCGGTCTTGAATGCTATCAAAATTAATCGATCATAAGAGGGAGCCTAAATTGATCTCAAAACGATGACATTAATTAAACTATTCCGCAAAGGAAAGGAGTTATATAGCAGCCCTTAATTTCAAGAGAAGAATACGGTTTCGCTTAATTCGGATAACTTGATTCTGAGTTATTATTATTTACGTAGAGATCATAAATTGGCTTATCGAAGAATGGAGAAGAAGACGGTGGCCATTGTTTTGATTAGAAACAAATAAACTGGAGATAGAAAGAAGCTAATGGTGTGAAAATGTAAACCACTTAATCGATTTTGTTGTGTGTGTGTATATATATATAGACATTCGTAATTCGTGGTCTAATTAGACAACATCTTGTTTCGAACATAGAAGTTGCTAAGAGTAAAATTTATCTCATTGCCCATCAAGACTCTCGACTGGTCCTTTCTTATTGATCTTTTAGTTGTCACTGTCGAAATTGCCTCGTAAGCCCATATTTGAAAATTTTCAGTCTAACTTATTCTTCATTTAAAGAGTTTAGTCCCGTAAAGAGGGTAAACTCGAATAAGGAGAACCTGACCACCTTTCCTTCCTTAATCTAAACTACAAATCATTGATGTCGTCATCTTTAAGTAGCCAAAACGATATACAATCGATGATATGGCCAAAGAATTGCATGTAACTTACATGAAAGAATTTTCGGAAGTATGACTGGCGCAACTACTCCTTGTGATTGTCATCTAGAGCATCCAACATTTTTCTGATTTTTCGAGGTTACAATCGCATGTCACCTTTGACAATCTACTCTATACTATCAACAGTTAATTCTATCTCCCAAATGGTCATTGAACTTTACAAAAGCTTTTCAAGGGGTCACTGAACTTTAAAAATCATCTAAATGGTCATTGAACTTTCCAAAAGGTTTCCCAGAAATCACTGAACTTTGCAAAAGGTTTCCGAGAAGTTACTGAATTTTAAAAATCACATAAATGGTCACTGAACTTTGCAAAAGGTTTTCCAGAAATCACTAAACTTTCCAACCCCTAAACCACCTTAGAGCCACCATTTATGGACCCCAAAATCCACCCTCCGGCCACCTTGGCCGTCGGACCGACATACCACCTTGAAACCCTCGTTTCCTTCTTCACAACCCATCCAAGCTCTAGTCATAACACCAACCGATGTGACCAGAAATCCAAGCCAAAATGGGCAGCCTGGAACAACAAAAAATGAAGATTCCAGTCATTTTTCGTGCTTGGTCAACCCATTTTGGCTTGAATTTTCTACCAAATCGGTTGGTGTTATGGCTGGAAGTTGAGTGAGTTGTGAAGAGGGAAACGAGGACTTTAAGGTGGGATGTCGGTCCAACGGCCAAGGCGGCCGGACAGTGGAGTTTTGGTGGTCCAAAACTGGTGACTCGTTCACTTCTAGTCATTTTTGTGCTTGGTCAGCCCATTTTGGCTTGAATTTTCGGCCAAATCAGTTGGCATTATGGCCGGAACTCGGGTGGGTTACGAAGAGGGAAGTGAGGGCTTCAAAGTGGTATGTCTGTCCAGCGGCCAAGGTTGCTGGAGGGTGGATTTTGGTGGTCCATAATTGGTGGTTCTAAGGTGGTTTAGGGGTTGAAAAGTTCAGTGACTTCTAGGAAATTTTTTACAAAATTCAGTGACCATTTAAGTGATTTTTAAAATTCAGTGACTTCTGAAAAACTTTTTGCAAAGTTTAGTGACCATTTAGTTAATTTTAAAGTTCAAAGACTCCTTGGAAACCTTTTACAAAGTTCAGTGACTATTCGGGCAATTCGCTCAACAATAACAAATGAATTAGTAATTAAATAAGCAAATTATTAAACATAGGGCCAGCTAAGCATGCCTGTGAAATAAAGGTCCTCTCGGACTGGGGGTCAATGATGAACCATTTTCACCAACTGCAAGGATTTGTCAGGATTGTTCCTCACCGACCCTTACAGTCCGTGAAGAACATTGCCACCGTTAGGGGTCGATGAATGACACAAAGCCAAAATTTAAACTCAAATTCAAACCACAATGCACAAATTTAAACTAAAACATATACTACCCAACAATATTTGATATTATAACTTCACAATTTCTAACCTAAACAAAGTATAGAGAGAAAAATAACCACAAATTTGAAAGAAGTTAGATTGATCAGATTCTAACATTGAAATTAAATTTCTTGCACGTGTTTTAAGATTAATATGATGCCAAAGAAGAGTTCGCCTACAATTTTGAATTGCAAGATTTGTATTCTTGTTCTAGCCTTCAATTTTGTATTGAGATTACATGTCCTTTGGGTTATTGGGTACATACAAGTGCGCTATATTTGGTAATTTCCTTCATATATTGCAATTAAAATTAACGGGTTATAGGCCTTTTGAGCAGATGGATAGGGTCACCGGTCACCAAACATTTGCTAATGATTCCCAAAAAATATAAACATATAAAGCATCTACAAAATATTGTGTTAATTTCTATTTATTAGTTCAAAATTTTGCATGTAGAAAAAGGGTTACAATTTTCAATATTCATTGATGCCTAAAATATCTAAGGGTCTGCTTGATTGCGAAAATAAAATTTGAGTGGAAAGAAAATAAACTTCAGGGACTTGAGTTACCTAGAAATTATTTTCTTGAGTATTGTAAATTATTGTGTTTGATTAGTATAATTTTTCACGTAGAAAATATTGAAGTAAAAGTATTTTTAGTGTTCATTTGACTTTATTTTACATGAAAATTTTCAATTTAAGGGATATTCACTTCTACCATTGTTCCTAGAATTTGTTTCCATTGCCAACAAAAAAAAAAGATCAAAAAATCATCTATATTTTAGCGTTCATTTGGCTTTGTTTTGCATGAAAATTGTCAATTTCAGGAATATCTTCTTTTACAATTGTTTCTAGAATTTGTTCTCATTGCCAACAATTAAAAAAAAAACAAAAAGTGAAAAAAAAAAAAAAGGTGAAAAACCAAAAACAACCTACCCCTAGAAAAATAAAAGATGGAAAATCACGCATTAAGATGTTGTACCCAGAAATTCATGAAAAATCAATTTCCTGAAAAATTTTGTCAATCAAACAGACCAAAAGTGGAAGTTGAAATTCGAATTACAAGTTCCATGGAAAATTTCGTGCAATCAAACAGAGCCTAAGTTCAAAATTATCTTCTGTTAATTCTGTCCATAACTAAAATTCATCTCCAATGGCTAAGTCATTAAGATTAAAGAATAAATAACATTTTTTTTTGTTAGTAACCCTATTTTACTATCAATGTAACTTCTTTAAAAGTTCATAAATAATAAAAATATAATGTATCCAAACAAAATTTACTTTAATCGCTTTTAAGCTTAGCTAACCATGCTCTTCGACTAGTCAATAACGAGAAGAAAAATAGGTGCCTTCAATCCCTTTGCTACAGAACTTGTATTCCTTAGATCAAGCTATCTGGTGGCTATTACCAGCTGCAACAAATACATTATAACCAAAACTTCTTCAACAATATATATGGTATCTATCTGCCGTGCATAAATTAAAGATTTTCAACAAAATGTAAACACAAGAACACCACAGACAGGTTTCAGAAAGGGGGGCAGGAAAAATGGTAGGGTGACCAAAATTCCCTACTTTCCATCAAATGCTCTCTAATAGGACTTGGTAAAAATAAATGCAATTGCAAACCACTCGCAGCCTGATCATCGTAGAGTCAACTTCGAACAATTTCTTTGAAGTGTCAAAATTCATCAGATTCACAGGGATACAAGATGGTGCTTTGGGAAACATGGGCAGATCCAATGAGCCGACAACAGATTTTCATGAAATTTATTCCAAGCATCTAAATAATAGAAAGGACAAGAAATATCAGCTGATGATCATTTTGTTCAGGAATTCAGCTTGCCCGGGGAAATGCTTCAATAGTTCATCTTTTGTGACCCAGACAAAATCTTCGCACTCTTTAACATTAAACTTGTTGGTAGCGATCACTTGAGACTTGAAAAAGAAGCGCTGACAAAAGTTGCAAGTTGTTAAACAATAGAGTTAAGAATACAAAAGTACGTGGTGGGATTTATGGCCGGGAAATCTTCTAGTTGGCGCATTCACAAAGTGAATGTTGTCCACAGAAACAATACATATACGCATTTACTAAGAGCCAACGAAAAGGTTTAAGATGTTTACCTTGAAAGAATTTATACCCTGGTCAGCTTCCGCAGGCTGTATTGCTATATGGCCCATTGGAGCATTGCCAACAAAATAAGTGTGAGAAAGATCTCCAATCACAGATTTTAATGCAGACTCTGCACACTGCAAATATATGGAAATAATTTCCTGGTTCTAATAATTTAGAATCAATAAATTTCAAAAGTAAAAACAGAAAAAAACTTGGGGAACATCAAAAAAAAAAAAAGGTTGAAAGTAAGAACCACCTCGCGCAGAGTCTTTTCAGATGCATAAACTTTCTCTGGGAAATGCCAGACACTTTTGCCACTAGGAGAACCAAATGTTGGGCCATAAAGGAGAAGATACAACCTTCGGTCTAGTGCTCTTTGTAATGACCTACGAGACAATATTTCATATTTAGTGCAAACAATATATGCACTAACACAGGTGAGTTTGCCTAGAGAAAAGCTAGAAATACTACTATAGCTGCCTGAGAGAACTGAATCAGATTAAAGAGAGATGATACCAATTGGACAATTTGATTCACATACTACTACTTTTGCAGAGCAGATGGAGCGAAAATATAAGTACTTCGAGGATTACCTCTCAACTTTTAGTTATCCTCGAGGAAGGTGCTAGCTGATTTTAGTATAGATTATAATAGGAGGTAAACAATTGTAACGCTATACGTACTTTATTCTCTTTTTTATTCTTTAGGCATCAGGAAATAAAATATTTATTTAACGGTGAAAACTGAGATAAGAGTTCATACAGCTAAAAAAAGGTAATTTTATGTGACTAGGAACCAGAGAAAATAGTCACAGAGAGAGTTAAATACTCCACAAATAGAGGGAAGGATCTAAATTTATGTCAAAACAAATAAAGGGCATCCTCAACTCTCAACAATGGTAATTCATTCCCGTGAAAATTAACCTCTATTACATATTACATCACAGAAAATACAATATATTACCTTTTATTGTTAGATTTGTCTGCCTCAGTGATCCGAGGAGCTGGTTCAAACTCAATTTGATAATCACCTTTTCCCCTGGAAATTTATATGGTCATTACATAGTAAAGACTAAAGAACACGTCCTAATCAACAATATAAACATTTAAAAGAAAGATAATTTTGCATGCATGGTTTTGTTGCTATACCATTGGTTGATAGCCATATTTGCAGTAAATAAATAAATGTGAATGCATAAAAAAAATCAGAAGATGCTTCTATATTTGCCTATTTGAGATGTATGGCCTTTTTTTTTGTGTGTGTGAGCGAGCGAGCGAGTGAGAGAGAGATAAACTTGGGCATCACCATCAAAAGCCCAATCAAATGCACAGTTATTGCTGGACTTCTTTAACAAAGAGAATTCTACAGAATTCTTAAAAAGGAGAACAGTGAAATGAACTGCACTATCAATTATCAACCATACCAAATGCATTCTCAGAGCATATACAGTCACTGACAAATATTTATTGCAACTTAAGAAAAACTTCGGTTTTAGAACCTTAGATGCTACAACAGACATGTAAACATCTAGCTTATTCTACAAATCATTTACAAAGTGAATTTGCTAATAGAGAACTAGTAATGACAGACTCTTTGTAAAATCAGAAATATATCAACAAAAAGAAGAAGAAAAGCAAAATTTATTACCTGGAATCAGATTTTTTCAAGAAAGCTTCTGGGTATTCCCGCCGATATTGCTGCCTCCATCGAAACCTAAATGCGCATCCCAACCATCAAAAAAAAAAAAAAAGCCAAACGAATGAGTTTTGGTATGGAATGTTGCTAGGTTTATGCCTACAGTCCTGCCTATTAATCTGGACGCAATGTGTCGCAAACTGGAATAAAGAGGTATGTGCTAAATCGTACGCAGGGACCAGAGTTTTTTGAACCAGTACTTCACAATTAATGTATATCATCGATTTCTAAAGAAGGATGGTTGTTATGCACATTGCAGGCTTATGTCACAAAAGAGAGATTACAGAAATGAGAAGTGTGATAAACCTCTGAATTTTCCATATTGAATTATTGATGGACACCCAAGTTCAAGTATTTAACAGTCACAGTTGCCACTCAACAGACACAAAGCCAGGAATGATTATTTAAATTTTGTAATGTAAAATTATCAAGTAATGTCATGCACGGAACTGAACTTCGAGGGCCAAAAAAATCTGTCAGTAATCACTTTATCTCATACGAAAGTTAAAGTTGTTACATCCAGAGACCATCACATAGCTAACATTATTATTCTAAGTAGGGTAAATTGTACATTTAGTCTCCAACCTTTGGCAAAAGTAGTAATTGTGTCCCCAACCAATTTTTTCAATTTGTTTTTATCCTCAACATTTGAGAAATTAGCAAAGTCAATCCCATATAACTTGTGTATTTTTTTTCCCTTATATTTACTTAGCCCCTGTTTGATGGTCATTATTTGGTAAAAACAAATGTTTGAATAGTGATTTTTAGGAGTATATGCAGTTAACAAGGGGGAAAAAATTTGGGGTTTACGTGCTAAAAATTTTATTGTGTGAATGAGTTGTCGAAAATGAGTATGTAAAAAAAAAAAAGGAAGAAAAAAAAAGAAAAAAGGAGTTTGAAAATAATGGTCGTCAAACAAGGGCTAATATTACATGTAAACATAAGACTTTTCCTTCTTTTTTAACCACACATTTTTTAAAATAAAATAAAATAATCACTATTTTAAAATACATTTTTGCCCAAAAGACATTATAATGGAGTCCAAAATAGGGGAATAGTTGTAACTATGAATACGTACAATTCAGATAGTATCGTATACTACAATCTGTAATCTAAAGGTTGTCACAGCTACATCAGAAAATCATTATTCAGATTATAACTTAGACAGCCAAACATGCTGTCAAAACCCATTTCCTCCTTGTTTACCAAACAAAACAAAGTAAAAACAAAATGGAATAAGATCAAAAACAAAAGCTGCTTCACTTTCACCATTTCTACAATTTGAAAGATGTGTAATCCAAAATGGAAAAAAAATTAATGAGAAATGAACAAAGAAAAAATGCTTACGAGAACTCTTGAAAAGCATAAACAGCAGGGTCGATTTTGGGGATGACGACAGGGAGTCTCTCAAATACTACTGAAGCTATGATCTTATAATTGCTATTCTTCGATGCAGAAGTGCAAAACCCTCGCTCTGTTACCAGAGACTGAGCCAGCCTCAGATACAATGTTGGTCTTCGCATTTTCTACAACCTAACTACCAAAATAAAGAGAAAGTTCAAATTGCTGTAAATTATTATTATTATTATTACTATTATATATAGTCAGTTGTACATGGAGGGGGATTTGTCAAACCCTAATAGAAGCATAGGAACAAGGAAGGGGGTTTACCTACCTGCAACAGGTAATGACAATTGTATGGGTCAGAATTTATGTTGGCTATAGTCCGAATAGGAATCAAAGGCCGGTAATAGTTGCCCCCCTCTTCAATAATTTACTGTCACAAAAATGTTATGAAGTTCTAACTCCTGCGTTTTGATGAATATTGGTCTGAAATGTTGAATTATATATCCATAATTCCAACTCCTGCAGGCCGCAATGGTATATCTGTATATAAGCTATACTGATAGGAATTCCTCATTTAAACCAAGATCAGAGATTGATGATTGGAATACTTCATTTAAATCAAGAGCAGAGATTGATACAATTAATACCTTCAACTTTCTAAACACTCGTTTAGACAAAGCATAGGTCATAAAAATGTCCAGATATACTTGAAGAATTCAAAGCCCAAGAATAAACCCTATAAAATCTCGATTCTTCAATAAAATAAAACACATTATCGAGCTCCATTTATGAATGCCCTTTCAATTGTAAAAGCAACTACAACAAACAACAATCAAATATCAAGTAACATGTAATAAATCTACAAAGTTAGGGAATAAGAATTTCAGACACTTCACTCTCAAATTTGCACCTTCTTCCAAGGTCACAAGAAATTTACATACCTGGGTAGATGAAGAATTGGTAATTTCGGCAGTTGCTGGTTCTAGCGTATTCGCCTACTGCAGTATTGGCATTTGGGGTCCCCCGCGCCCCTTCAATTGGGCTAAAATCGGTGGACATTATTTATAGGTGGGCCAAAAAAATATGCTATTGGGTCCATGGCTTCCAATTAACATATTTTCATTTTTACTTTTACTCTGCTTCCTTGTTTAGCCCCTGCAATCTGCATGGACTCCATTAAAATGTGCTTTGGGATAAAATATATGACTATTTAAGTAAATTTAAATAAGATAAAAAATATAATATAATTATATTTTTAAAAGTGGATGTAAATAGCAGTACTCAAAATATATTTGTGATCATTAAAGAAGGAAGAATTTTGAATTTATGTATAATATTATTCGGACAATGCTACACATATCGAATTTTTTACTGCATCTTTAACATACTACTCACAACAGGGGTGCGACCACATGTTAACATTTTTAAATTCACACAAGGCCTATTTTTGTAAGAGGATGTAAAACATTCGGTAAGAGATTGTGTCTACAAATATCATTTTTCATATTATTTTATTAGAGAATATGTGATAAAAAAATATGAGAGAGAAAAATATATTTTTGATAAATTTGAGCCCAAATAGTTGCTTAATCAACTTGACCATTTCGATTATTTACTCAATCAACTTGATATATTTAGATCGTGTTTGATAAAATAAAATTAATATTTTAAGCTAGTGTATTTTTATGAAATTGGTTGTTAAAACTAGGGACGAAATCATAAATTATTTCAGTGCAGGCAAAGTTATCGGTTGGAATAAATGACAGTGGGACGGAACCAAGGGCGAGCCCACGTGGGGTAATGTGGGGTCAAATGACCCCACGAATTATTTTTTTTTCCAATAAATAGTAGTTTTAACTATTTTACAACCTAATTCAATACATATCAAATGAAATCGAGATATTGCATTCTTAATATCATTTCAAAGCGCTCATCACCTATTTTTCCTTTTTTAATGGCATGCAAAATGATCGACCATAGCAAAAGTTACGATGTATCAAAGTAGGCCGTTTTAAATTAGTATTTCGAAAAGTTAAAATTTGCCAATGATCGTATATTATCCGAATCTATAAATCGCCTACATTATCTAGAAGCTCATTTCGAGAACTACATCGTAGTCATATCAAATGGTCCAAATAGCTATTAAAAATAGTTAAACATGTGTCAAACGTACATACTAAAAAAGACATTTTAATTCTTTTTAAAAAATTCAATTACTTCATTAACGTTTATTGTTTTTGCACAATAAATTCTTCAATATAATTTACATCATTTTATTATGAAATTTTACATGAAAAATGACATCAAAAATTCTAAAATCGTTACGGATTACTTTAAAATTATTTTTTCATTAAAATTAAATTTCATTTATTTTCTAAATTAAATGTGAATTTTATTTCAATTCATTTACTTCCTACATCCACTTTGATTTATTCGCCGTTAGCTCAACATCCATAGATGACATGTTAACAAAACTATATATTTAGCAAAATTCATTTATAAGACGTTTTCAAAGTGTCTAAATGAATATTAACTTATTTTCATTAACATTATATTGTTTTAAAAAATTACACATTGATTTTTGATCTAACAATCCAAAAAGGCTGGGTCCGTCCATGGACGAGGCTAATGACAACCCTATCAAGAATTTTTGGAATGCGGGAACTCAAGCGTGTGGGGATTTAAAAATCCTCATTTATCACCCCTTAATTTAATTATTTATTTGTTCTTAAAATATAATATAAGGTGGAAAACATTAAAATAAAATAAATTCGCTAGAATTCAGGAGGGGATCATGTTCCACATCACCATCCCGTTTACTATTCGAGGCAGATTGAGATGGAGAATTTTGCTACTTTTAGTTTTTGGGTTCTATTAGGAAAAATACAAAAAAGAAATTAGAAATATTGCTGAAATTATATGAATAAAATAATGGAAAGAATCATTGCAATAAAGAGAATAACAATAAAAATAGAGGAAATAGTTATTGATGTAGTAGCAGTATTGGAAGGAATTAAGGCTTGTGTTGTACACAATTTTCTTAAATTATATTTGTCCCCCGCTGTAGTGCAAGAGCATTGATGGCATCTATCTTTCAGGATATAACGTTTGAAAGTAATTGACTAACACTTCGTTACTATTTTAAGCGAACTCAGAATGCTCACAATTTTATCGTCGAGCTAAAACAAACAAGTTATCTAGATTAATAATAACAAGATTCTTAACAACAAGGAAAGAAGAGAGAAATTTAGACACAAGAAAGAAATCTCAAATTTTTTGTGTGAGGAATAAGAAAGGAATACCTCCTTATATAGTACTAGAATGAAAGAGGTTTCAATATTCTTATTTAATACAAATAATGTTATAATAGTTGTAATCATAAATTAATTATGGAAATGACTCAATTCAAGTACAAATTAACTATCGAATTGAATAGACTTAAAACCTATGGATTATTACAATTTCACTCACTTCATTTTATTTTTAAATATTTCCCAACACTAATTATTTGAATCAAGAACCAAACGAGACGACCGGAATCAACCCAAACTACGTACAATTGTTAATATCAGATTGAATAGTGATGCACTACAAATGTTGATTTTCAGTGTATACATGAAAGGTATAATTATTTTCAATCTTTTCAAACTCATATATTTTAAATACTTTTTCTTATTTTGTAAAATCGGATTTTTTTTGGACTAATTGAAGTACTTCAAAGCAATAGGCCCACTCGACCTATTCAACTTAAATGTCCCATTTTATAATTGGTTTGCTCATATTGATTCTTAGATTGATATTCTTGTAAGATCATGGAAGATTGGCCTAAGTAGTGAATTGATCATGTGCGCACATCCCGATTCCCGAATAGAGTATAAAATGTTGGGAAAATTGGATGATTTGTATGTAGATTTATTTATAAATTAGCATAATCAATTAATTGACATAAACATAATTCAATAATAATATAAAAAAAAGAAGAGAGTTAGAAAGAAAGAAAATCTTGAGAGTCACATCGACGACGTTGTTCTAAAGTTTTGTTGTCTTCCTTTCATGCTGGTTCTTTCGGCACCATATGACTCCAAAATAAAATACATATGGCTCTCCTTCTATGAGTACGATCATAAGGAGATAAGTAAATGAGCCTTTATTGAGATGCCAAAAATATAATATAAAATTGTAGAAAGTAATGCTTCAAGTGAGTCTCGAATTACAGAAATGACTTCATTATATAGTAAAACTTTAGGCAGTGATTGGGTTGTATTTTCATTTTCAAAACGATTTTTAGTTTTTCCCGAAAACGGTCTGTTTTCCACATTTTGAGTATTTTTCGACATTTATAACTGAAAACGATAAAAAGTCATTTTGCGATTTCAGTTATAAATTTTAACTCGTTTTTGAAAATGCGTTTTCGAAAACGACAGACCAAATGTGTTTTCAGCGTTTTCGAAAACGAAAAATGAAAAATGGATCGAAAACGACAAACCAACTACGGCCTTAACCTCCACAATAATGAGAAAACATATAAGTTATCATATGAATTATGGTCTTTTAATTTTATTTTAAAACTAAAAATTAATAAGTTTTAATTTTGAAATGTTGAAATTGATTTCAAGTTACAACAACCACTACATTTATACCACAAGTTATAATATGTATGTTACACTATAGTATTATTAATTTAATTTTGTATGAAATTGAAATTAAAATATAAACAACAAATTATTAATTTGAAAATTTAAAACTTAAAATTATTTATTTTCCAACAATTCCCCACAAGTTTTAAATTTTCAAAAAAAAAAAAATTAAATAAATAATTTTGGACTTAAACATCACTTAGTGATAACAATTTTCATTTGAGGGAGTCATAATGGACTAAGCCTTGAATTAGATCCCTTTAGCCAAATTTTAATTATTCAACACACAGTATCAATTTAGACTCAGTTCATAACATGTTGCGTTGTTAATAGCAATGCTCTCTAATCTTGATTCTAGTAAGAGTTTTTAGGGAATAGCTAAATCTCATAACCACGACCTCATGGCAACTCTTACATAGGTGAGCCCTCCAAGAGTATGTGTGATCTGCACATCATGAGAATTCTCGCTTCGGAACTTATTTAGGGTTAGACCATTCCTAACATCACATTATTATTAGCACTATTATTATAGGGATGAGCACAAATGATATAGTGCAATCTCGAGTCATGCAGTACGGATTATTTCTACCATATTGAATCTTCTTCATGGGATCTCCAATCACAAAGGTTGGATTACTCTCGGAGGTGACTCCCTTATGGGTTTAAACTCATCCCCCTCGATGATTTATTTAATGTCCATGGATTTTAATATATTCATGTCCCCCTTAGACAATAATTTGGTATCATAATATTTGCAAAACTTTTCTTCTTCACCTGCCGATTGCATATATGCAGTCACCTAAGAATTTTTCAAAATGTCAATATCACATATATAATTATAATAAAATTTCTCATATTGGCTTCTAGTAACTAGTTTGGGAAAATGCATTCATAGAGTTCTTGCATTTTACCTGTAATCTTTCATTTTTTTTGGGCACTATTCAAGAGTTAGTTTACAACTAGAAAAAAAAATATAAGGTGTATCTATATTAAATACCTCCACATTCCAAAGATATCCATCTTAGTGGAATTTCTTTGAAATTTTCCATGTCTGCAAATACTACTAAATACTTTTACAAAATGTTAGTGTCACAATAAATATGAATAACTTAGATAGATTTAGATAAAAGTGTGAGATTTCAATATTCATCCAACTTTTCTTCGAACATTAATCAAAGAAAAGAAAACTTTATTAAATAATTTAATACCTCCACATTTCAAGGATATCCAGCATGAATTGAGTAAGTATATGATCTTAAAATTTATCTCTTTTGAACAGACTGCAAGGTAGAACCAATTCTCCACTCACTCATTAAAATTATAACCTTAGAAAATTAAATTCTCAAATATACATTGTGGTATAATTGGTAGTAAGGGAGGTGTAAAGAAAACAGGAACTAATAAGTACCATTTTCTTTATGTACCACACATTGTCTTGTAATCGAGAAGACTCTTAGAGTGTCACAATTGGAACTAACTCATATTTCATATATTACACCTTGAATGACTAATAAATAAGAATTAAAGATATTTTTATTAATGCTAGTTAGAGCTACAACTTCAAGACTTCTAAAATAATAATAATTTTCTCGATACCTTTAATGTACAATTTCTTCCATTAATGCTGAATCTAGCATCTATGGTTTTTTTTTTTTTTTTTTTTAGCAACACTTAACTATCGAATGTTAGCTTTTATGTGTTGCAAATGATCATTTTTGATATAGTGATTAGTTTTCGAAGTCACAAAATCACACACCGTAACTTATATTTTCCAATAATACAAGTAATTAGATATTAAACAAATGGTGTGACCGATGTTTAGTGTGAATCATGGATGGCAATGGAAGATTTCGACTGTGGCCGGTGGGATCGAGCGAGAGAGGATGAGAGATAGCGGCATTTAGGTTAAGGGCATGAGTGAATTGGAGAGAGCCTTTCCGTATTGTTAGTTTTGACATTTCTTACTCCAATGCATGACGAATGCCAAAGGTAGAAAAACTTTGAAAACTTCTAAGGGGTTCGTGCTTCCATCCTATTTATTCTTATCGAACGAAGAAAAGATTATCTGAAGCTGTTTAAATAGACATAGAAAATCAAGATTATGAATTTTCAATCCATGGCGCTACTATGAGGTTGACGTGTTTTAAATTCCAGCTAGCTAAAAAAGATCCATTGATTATTTATAAATATGCTCCAACTAGTGGGTTTATTGATATTCGAGCCTAAAAATCAGTATCACGAAATTAAATGGACAAGTAAAAACATACACATTGACTTTTCCTATCAAAATCACAACAAGAATTGTCTACACACAAATCACAAACACGACTTTAGAATGTTGAAAAAATTGGATGATTTATATGTAGATTTATTTATAAATTAGCATAATTAATTAATTGACATAAACATAATTCAATAATAATATAAAAATAAGAAGAAGGTTAGAAAGAAAGCAAGTCTTGAAAGTCACGTCGACAACATTGTCCTAAAGTCGTATTACCTCTCATTCGTGTCGGTTCTTTCAGCACTATACGGCTTCAAGATAAAATCTATGTGGCTCTCCTTCTATGGTACGACCATAGGAAGATAAATGAGTGAACCTTTATCGAGATGTCAAAAGTATAATATAAAATTGTAGAAAGTAATACTTCAAGTGGTTTTCTCAAATTATATAAATGACTTCCTTATATAATGTAAAACTTTAACCCCGACAATAATGAGAAAACATATAAGTTATCATATGAATTATGGTATTTTAATTTTATGTTAAAACTGAAAATTAATAAGTTTTAATTTTGAAATGTTGAAACTTATTTCAAGTTACATCCACCACCATATTTATACCACAAGTTATAATATGTATGTTACACTATAATATTGTTAATTTAATTTTGTATTAAATTGAAATTAAAATAGAAACAACAAATTATTAATTTAAAAATTTAAAACTTAAATTATTTATTTTCCAACATAAAATGCTCACCACATGCCCAACTTGGCCATGTTTGTTAATTTATTGAAATAGCGAATAATTTCGTGTATTATTTGGGAAATTATATGGCGTTTTTATAATTTGATCTATTACAAAGAAAACTATGCACATGGTCCTTAGCCAATTACCTCAATAGCAAGTTGGTCCTAAAATTTAAAAAAGAGCAAATTTGTCACTTAACTTTTAATAAATTCAATCTTTGGCTATGCCCCCGTTTGGCCCCATTTTTCTTTTAATTTTTTCTTCTCACTCTTATTTTCAGCCACATAATATTCTATAAAATAATATTACACATAAATCAAAAATCTTTTATTCTTTTTTAACCACAAATTCTCTAAAAAAAAAAAAAAACTATTTCAAACATTAAAATTTGAAAAAAGGGCGCCAAACATGAGCTATATAAATTGTACAATCAACAATAATTTTTCATGTGACTATCATAGAAGCAATTTTTTTATATTTCAAGAGTATAGGGTACTTAATACTTTTTGAGTAATGTTATTTAACTTGCAATCCCAATTTAAGTGCCGTTAATGTGACATTAAAGGATAAATAGAATTAAATGAGTTATCTACGTAGAATTAAATGAATTATTTACCTTTCAATTAGTCTATCATTTATCGTCATCTAAACGGAGGATGTAAACTCAATAGAGCTACATAACATTACTTATACTTTTTGTTTCTATTCACTTCATATATGTATTAAATAGGGGAGTAGGTGAGCGTGGAGATTTTTGATCACGAGTTCGATTCCTCCTAACAACACTTTCTCCGTCGAGTTTGTCGCACCGAATTTGCCTAATGCAGTTTACTTGGTTAATGTGGTTTGCAGGCTATTGCGTCAGCCCGAGGGTTTACCCAATGCGCACTCGAAAGGTAGCGGCTGCGGGTTCTCTCGTTAGTGTAAAAAATAAAAAAATAAAAATCGGAACCCACTGCCTAATTGAAACCAAATATTATGGAATAATACACATATTAATTGAATGACGGTATATTGAGTTTCGTATTTCGAAAATAATGAAAATTTTCTCAATAAAAGCACTACTCTTTTCAAATTCTCCACACCAACTTGAGTAGTGAAACAAAACAACTGCACTAAATTAGATATACCTAACCATTTTTGACACAAGTTTGGCAAGTTTCAATAGTTGAAAATTGTAGGTTGACTACCATAAATGCAATTTTTCCTTTTTTTTTTTATTATTCCAATTTTCTGTTTTGCACCTGTCTCCACTACTGCTCTAGAAAATCCCTCTCGTGCATGTGAACACACAGTCGATCAAAAGTAGACGCAGGCTTGAATTCTTTAACCAGTTAGTCTCCATCTTTCCTTTTGTTTTCTTATGATTCGTGGATTCTTTAAATCTTTACTTTCATATTGATTAGATTACTTATGTTTCTGCATGTTTGTATGTACATTTTGTTTTATTGGGGGCAAATTTCGCATAAGCGGATTATGCTTAAATCTGTTAGGATCGAACGAGGAGAATTAACATTCATCTAGTTGATTTAAGAATCATGATTCCAGGAAAAATGCTTTGATTGACGTGAAAATTTTAATTTCGATCTTTTAGGATCTGGGTCATTCAATATTTACTGAAAGAAAGGACAGAAATGTTTAGAATTATGACGTAATCTTAAAAACTAGTTGTGGATGTTGTGGTTGAAGTTTGGAAGTTGGTTTTTCTAATATGTGGTTTAATTTCTGGGTGAGAATTTATTATTATTGCTTAGGATCTTTCTTTTAGGCAGTAGCTATAGTACTCTGATTAATGCTATTGTAAATGCGATATGGGGTTGCTTCATGGATCAAGGTTATCTAAAACAAACAGAAATGGTAAAAATTATGGATTGATCCTATACAATTATTGTTAGATGATGTGGTTGAAGTTTTGGAGTTGTTTTTTCCGATATGTGGTATAATTCTGCTTCTGAGCTTATGATTATTGATAATAGAATTTCTCGATCCAGGAATGGATATTATAGTGCTCTGCATAATGGGATTATGAATGCAAGAAGGGGGCAGTCACCACGTAGCTGTTATAATCTTCTCCAATTACTCTTGAGTCTTTCAAAGTATTTGTTTGTCGTTCTATTGTTGAACCACTATTTCTTATTCATATATCTCTGTAAAATCAACTTTTGAGTTGCATAAAAATATGAATTCTTCAAAGACTGATGATAACACAACATAATGAAAAATAAAGAAAAGTGGATTATGCGGAATGAATTCATTAGAATGCTAAAATAGATATACAGGGGTAGAGATTAAGTACAGGTACGAAAAAGTTACGTGCCATTGAGCAAGTTGCATTTTCTACGAGGAAGTGCCTTGTTCTTCTTCACCAGTTTTACAGAGCCCTTTCGAGGATATGTAGTTGGGGCAATACAGTACTCTTGTTGACAAATCTATTATTTGGAAAGTGAAGTAATTTTGTTATTTTCCCTTAATTTCATGGAAGATGCCCTAAATGAAAATTGAAGTGACTACTTTGGCTATGGACATGGAAAAATTTCTCTAGAAGTCAACTTTTTCTTGCCATATTAGTCTAGATGTTATATCTTTCTGTGCTTCCAGTGACTTGGTTTTCTCAAAAAATGAGATTTGTTGTGAAACAACTATTGAAATTAAAGGTTCATGTGCAGGTTTTGTTGATTAAGGTGTTACTAGGAAAAATATGTCGGGCAACGACGAAGTCAATGCACAAATGGAAGATGTTATGGAGGACTCTAGCAAGCAAATGACATCAAGTCAACAGGAAGTTGTGTTCAAATTCTTTCTTTTCTTTTGCTAGTTTTTCTAGCCATGTGTGCTACTGCATATTTAGACAAGTTTTACTTACAGGAGGAAGCTGTTAAGAAGAAATATGGAGGAATAATGCCAAAGAAACCACCACTAATTTCAAAGGTATTATCATACCCTTCTGCATATCTTAAGGTAATGACAACTATGAAAACTTCATTGATCCTTCGTTAAACCTCTACCTTTGATGTCAGGATCATGAACGAGCCTACTTTGATTCTGCTGATTGGGCCCTGGGAAAAGTAATACTTTGAACCTTAATTTATTTTGTGTGCTTACTTGAAGTTTATACTAGTATTCATAAATTGTACCTAATATTTTTCGTTGTTATATAATTGCAGCAAGGTGTAGAGAAGCCGAAAGGACCACTTGAGGCACTGCGGCCAAAGTTACAGGTAAACTCAATTGTTTCCCTTCGAGACCAACTACTTAGAGTTGGAAGTGGACTATGTCTTATCATATAGAGCTATCATTTAATATCTACTGTCCATAAAATCTAACCTCTGAATCTATAATATTTGATTCACAAGGTATCAGCTCAATAATTCAAGTAGGTTCTATCATAAGTTTTGTTCAAAACTTGAGAGCATGCAAAGAAACAGATAAGTGTAGTGCACACACAAGATTACTTGAAGAGAGATCTAAATTGCATATTTTAATATGAACCTTGAGATGTATTAATGATTTCGTGACTTTACCTTTACCCCTCCAGTATCAAATTTAAGTTGCCCCACCGCCACCCCAACCCCCCAGGGCATTCTCTGCGGACAAGTTTTCAGCAAGGGGTTGAAAGTGGGAAATGTTTACACAAGCTTCCAAAATCTTGCTTTGCCTATTTGCACTGTACATCAGGCAAGAAGTTAATAGACTCTTGACAAGGAATAACCTGATGATTAATACTAGTTTGGGAATAATTAAATTTTTTTCCCCCTTTTTGGAAAGTGCACATCCATTTGACAAATCTCTAAATAGCAAGTACGTTTTTTGACCGAGATAGAGAAAGCTGTATTTTCTTGATGAAAAAATGAAAACTTCTGTTTTGCAGGGGTCTAAAATTTTGTTGTGTTTTTCTTTATGTTCAAAATTGATGAAATAAATACTTCCAAAAAAAAAATTTGGAGAAACTTAATCTGAATTTAATATTATATCCCATCAAGTGACTCATTTATATGATAATTTGCACTGACTTTTAGCTTTATTCTCCCTTTTTCAAATCCTCCAGTAGATAACAAATCGTCCATTCTGCAAACCCTTTTTCGCCAGTGGCCATGCCTTGTACGATTTTCCAATAAATTCTTCAATTTCAGCTGGAAGCAATATGAAAAGTCGATCACATCAAAACGAGAATTAACGAATTAAACACGATGGCCTTGCATGGTATAACAAGTAGGGCATTGATCTACTCAAGTTTGATAGAGGATATGAAATATTATAGCTAAAAGTATGGGAGAGAAAAAATGATGACATGTAAACAGAGTTGCAAGTACACATTTTTTGTCTCTCAATGTCAATGTTAGCCCAACTGAGTGCTTACACTATTGTTGTTCTTTCCTTCTCTATGTGATCGAAAGGTTACGAAGTCCAATCTCAATTTAGCGTTATTAGTTTCGAGTTTGTGCATGTTTAGTTACTGCTAGATCTAATTTTAGTCTCCTCAGCCGTTCACACTTGAGAGTGCAAGTTCTCCTTATTCAAGTCTGAATTGTGTTATTATATGACTTAGAATCCTCTTTCCCAACCCAAGAAAAAAAAAATAAAAGAAGCTATGCTTGTGTCTAGCTTTGACGCTTCTTAAATAAGTGCTAATGATTCAAAGTGTAAATGTCTTACACATGATGTTATTGTAACTGGTAGCTCCACTCTTTTTACCACATTTTTAGCATTTATTTTGGTATTAACCTTGACACATCTTGATTGTGTATGCATGTATTTTGTATGCCTCTATCTTAATGTAACAATTTTTCATTTTTGCATTTGATGTTCTAGCCTACACAACAGCAGACACGATACCGCAAATCTCTTTGTGCTCCTGCAGAAAATGAAGGTATATGTGATTCTTGATTGAATTTCTCAGACTTGCCAATATATTGACGTTTAATTATTTAGCTTGTTTGGATAAACTAAAAACATTAGGAGTTAATTTTCAGTAATTCCGAGCTTAGTTTCAAAATACATGCTTAGTTCCAACTTTGATCAATAAAGATATTATTTATTGTAAAACTTATTCAGCCCCCATTTGACGATCATTAATTGTGGCAAACAAAGTTTTGAATAGTGTTTTTTAGGAGAATGTGTGGTTAAAAAGCGGGGAAAAGTTTTGGATTTACATATAGAATATTTTATTTTTTGAATGTGGGGTTGAAAATGAGTATGTAGAAAAAAGAGTGTGAAAATAATGGTTGTCAAGTAGGGGCTTAGCTGTGAGTAAACTTTTAAAAATTAGACAAACAGGCTCCTAGGCTTTTTCTTGTCTTGTTTCTGCAGTTCGACTTTGTCTCGAGAAAGTCATGTTAAGAAATTATATACACACACACACGGGGAAATCACATTAAGGCCTAAACACCTTATATATTCTCCCAAATTCCCAGCTCTAATAAAATGTTTTGGCTTATCAATCATGATATCTTTTGAAGGTATAACCCTATCTTTTTCTCTCTTTATAGATGGAAATGCTCCCCCGCCAGAGGATGGGGCTCCAAAGGAATGAAACACCATCTATCATTATTTCTTGTGGAGTTAATTGAACGTTACATCATTATTAGTTGAGTAACTTTCTTCTGAAATAAAAATTTATTTGCTTAAGAGAAGAATGCATCTACTGATTGTACTTGCTGCTGTACTTTGCGAGAGCCAAGGGGTCTTCCTGATCTTAGTCCTGTTGTAAAATACTTTCGCGCTATTCTGTCATCAAAGAATGTAGAATCAAGATTCCAGACCATTTCTTTGATTCCTGAAAAACATATAAATTTATGTACTCTTTCTCTTTGCAAGGATTTACTTTTGTTTCAAATTGATGATATATGTTCTAGTTCAATTGTGTATTAGACAAAAGGAACGTATAACGAACCTTAAACTCTGTTTAGGTCACTCACGTGTATTAGACAGAGGGAACAAAGAAAGAAAAGACAGTAATTTGGGGTAAAAAACTGGTTTTGAGGTGCAAATCTAATCGAGCACTTTATGGTCTCAATATCATCTACATCTTGTGTCCAAAATACTTGATAATGTGCATGGTCATTGGGTTCAACAATGATTCGAATTGATTGTTCATGAGACCAACACCATCTGCATTTTTTTGGCGGGTTTTTGTTGTGTTGATGACTTGTTCAAATTGCTTGATAGCAGGTATGGCCACTGGTTTTAGCAAATGTTTCTAAGCTTTTTGACTTTCTATATTACTTTCTTAGATTAACAATTTTGAAAGACTATGTTGAAAAAATGTTTCAACGCGAAGTGAATGGAGAAGAAACAGATAATAAAAAAACAAGAATATCGGAATTAAAGATAAAGGCTTAAATATGAAATTCTTTGTCATCAAACAATATTTTCCCCCTCTCTGATTGAATTTGATGTTAAAGGTATATGGACAAATGGTTTAAAGGATTAATCAAACCCTGAAATAGAAAAATATTTAAGCACTTAGCGTTTTCTATCAAAATTTCAAGAACACTTTAAAAGAAATTTGAATATGAAGGAAAGAATATTAATTCTATCTTTTGGAATGAAGTTTTAATCTCAAGTTGTTGAATTATATATTTGATGTAATAATCTATCATGTATTTATATATTTCAATCAACACCCACGAAATAGTGCCAAAAACCATGAAAAGTTGCAAGTTTTTCACCAAATGCTACCAAGAATTCAAACAAAAACCAGCCTTGATGACTATTTTTTAGTTCTAAGCGACAGCATAGAACAGACATATGCAGTCACATAGGGTCCATGCGAAGTTTTGGCCTTCAAATCCTTTTTTTTTTCATTTCAAAGTCTATTTTATTGATTTTGAACAATAATTTCAACAATTTCGCACTTGTTCAATATTCAATAAAATTACATATTCAAAATGTACAATATTTATGCGTAAGGATTAGATATTTTTCGATTTGAATCTAAACATAATATAATTCAAACAAAGTAAAGTTGAAATTAAAGATAGCAAAAAAGCTTTGAACCCATCATTCCTTGTAACAATACCAGTAATAACACACTCAAATATCAAGTGTTCTCAAGTTCCTCAATCTCTCTTAATGCTGATATGGCATTGTGCTCATCCTATTCAACGAACTTCTAAGAGAAAAACTCCAATTTTCTATTGAGGCAACACTAGCTTGAAGTTGATCTAGGTGAAACATTTTTAATATCTTTGTTATTTTTAGAGATACTTGTGCTTTAACACTAAATTTCATTAGGAGCTTAAAGCTAAATCGTCATTCTAGCAACAATCAACATTATATTATGAGGATAGAGATATCGCAGGTTTTATAATATTGAAACTATTCGCATATTGAATGACTTGTTATTACCTTTTAATCTCATGAAGTACTTGTTAAGTAATGGCTGGTAGAGTTGTCATTATTGATAAAAAATTTATTTTAAGAGTTTCAACCACATCCTATTCAAAGTAGATATTACTAAATCTCTATTTAGAGATTTAATTATGGGATCCGCTAGATTCTCAATAGACTTAACGTAATTTATGGAAATTATTCCATTCTTGATTAATTTTCCAATGTACTCAAGTCTCAAACTCATATACTTAGATTTCCCATTGTATACCTCATTTTATACTTTTGCTAATGTGGCTTAACTATCACACATAATGGACATTAAATATGTATTCTTTGGTCCCAAACGTGTCTCACAAAGATCTTTAAGTCACTCAGCTTCTTTCCCAATATCCGATGACTCTACAAATTCAGATTCCATAATTAAGTATATAATACAAGTTTTTTTTATTTGATTTCCAAAAAATAGCACATCTACAAGAATAAACACCCAAGTCGAAGTAGATTTACTTTTACTCATGCTAGATATCCAACTAGTATCGGTAAATTCTTCTAATATAGGCCATGTTTGGTACACATTAATGTAAAAATGAGAATGAAAAATATAGTCATTATAAGCCCCACACAAGAGATTGAAAGTCAAATATAATGACTTGATGTGATGGATAACGATCATATTTTTCATTTTAATGGGTAAATAATGGGAAACAAACAGGGGCATAGTCAAGAGTTTAGAATATTATAGACCTAAGTTCTTGATTTATTTTAATAGCCAAGAATTGTTCCAATGGCCTTCCTATGTTTCTTGCTTGGATTGCTAATAAACCTACTAAGTTTATTGATTGCAAATGATATATTCGACCTTGTGCATTAAACTGCGTACATTAAGTTTCCTATAGTACTTGAATGCTCTAATTGAGTAATTTCTCTTCTATCATTCTTTATAGGTTTTAAACTTGGATCAAGAAGGATATTGAATTCTTTTATATTCAAATGTTTAAACTTATTAATTACATTCTCAATATAATGTGATTTACTCAAGAAAAATCCACTAGTTTTTGTAACTTTGGTACCCAATATGGTATCCACTTGTCCAAGATTTCATCTTAAATGTAGATCATAAAAATCTATTTGTTTCTTTGATTCCATCCACGTGATTACTCATGATCAATATGTCATCAACATACGAGCAAATAAAGTCAATATATCCATCATGCACTTTAGAATATAAACAATTTATCTACACTATTATTTATAAAACCATATAAATTAATAGCTAAGTTAAAATTTTAATGTCATTTCTTAAATGCTTGCTTTAAACTGTATAATGATTTCACCAGCTTGCGCACTTTATTTTCATTTTTGGGTTGAGCAAACCATTTGGATTGTTCCATATAAATCTCATCATTGAGATCCCCATTTAAGAATGTCATCTTCAAATCCATTTGATGAACATGCAAGTCATGTATCGAAACTAATGTGAATAAAATCCTAATTGAAGTTTTTCTAACTACCGATGTATAGGTATCAAAATAATCTATTTATTCCTTTTCTCGATATCCTTTGGCTACTAATATAGTTTTAAAGGTATTAAGAGAACCATCAAAATTGTATTTTCTCCTAAACATCCATTTATATCCAATAGGTTTGGATCCAGGTGGTAAATCGACTAATTCCCATGTATTATTAGACATAATTGAATCAATTTCATTTTTAATTGCATCTTTCCCAAAAATACTATCCTGAGAAGCCATGGCTTCTCTATAAGTTTTAGGATCGATTTTCACTTGTAGAACGAAAGGAATTATTCTCACAACATTCGTCTTATTTCCTTCTACTAGGTAAAATGAAATAAATTGAGTCAATATCATTCGGTTCTAAAGACTTCTCAATTCATTTTTTTTTATTTTTTTTTTTTGTGCTTTTCCGTGGTTCACTAGATTTATGAACATCTTTAGAAAATGTTTCATCTTGTATTTTACTAGAGCTAGATATCTCATTGTAAATTTCTTTTATTTTATTATTTGAGGATAGTAAATTCTCAAAGAACTCATCACTTGATTCGATTATTATACTAGTCTCCAAATTTAACAATCTATACGATATGCTATTACTAGCGTAATCAACAAAGACACATTTAGTGCCTTTTAGACCCAATGTGGTCCTATTAGGGTTCATGTTCTTACAATATGCTAAACACTCCCACACTTTGAAGTATTCAATATTAGGTTTTTTTCTTTTCCATAACTCATAAGGAGAAACTTATATAAATTTTGAAATAATTCTATTTAATATCCTATATGCACTTAACAATGCTTCACCCCCATAAATTAAATGACAATTTAACATAAGTTAATATGGCATTTATCATTTCAACTAAAATTCTATTTTTCCATTCAGTTAAACCATTTTGTTTGAGTATCCTAGGTGTAGAATATTGATGAATTATGCATTTTTATTCACAAGACAGGTTAAACTCTCTAGAAAAATATTCTCCCACTCTCTATCACTTTTTAGAGTTTCTATTTTCTTACTTAAGTGATTTTCAACTTCATTTTTATATGTTTTAAACATATTAAAAGTTTCATGTTTATATTTCATTAAATAAATATAAATATATCTAGAGTGATCATCTATAAAGGTAATAAAATACATATTTCCACCTTTAATTAACATACCATTTAACTCGCATGTCCGTATCAATTAATTGTAAAATATTAGAAGTCCTATTTACACTTTGATAAGGCTTCTTCGTCATTTTAGATTTTACACATGTTTCATATTTAAACGCATCATTTTCATTATATAATATTAATTCATATTTTAGCATTTTTTTTATGGTATTATTACTTATGTGACCTAATCTAGCATGTCATAAAGCAAATGAATCAACCATATAAACAAATCAACTTTATTAATAATTTTATCAATAATACAAAGTTTGAACATTCTTTCATTAGAATAGTCATTTCTATCAAATTTCCCATTTAGAGATAATACAAGTTCATCGGACTCATAAACACTTTTGATACTCGATTTTCTTAAGAGATTATCACTTACTAAGTTCCTATTTGTTTCAAGAACACGTTGTACATTTGTTAAAATAATGATTTTCTCGAAAATGAAGATAATCTCTACATTTCCGTTCCCAACCACTTTAGAGCAGCCTTCGATAACCATTTGAATCTCTTAATCTCCATCCACTTTATAATAGGTCTTGAATAAAGACTTATTATATGATACATGTACAGTTGCACATGTATCATATCACCAACCAAGAACTTTTCTCTTGATTGCATTGATCTTGCTTACGGTGGCCATAATGTTCTCTTCTTTGATGGAGTTCACTTTTCTTTTGGAGTTGTTTTGTTTCGGTGTCAACATTCCTTTGCATAATGTTAGGGTCTCTACAGACAAAGCAACCTCCCTTGGACTTCTTCTTAAACTTGTTTTCTTATTGGATTTATTTGAAAGATTTA